CTAGCGGCTCTGGTTTAACTCAGAATGACACGTGGCTTACATCGGGCGACTGGACGCTAGGTCCAGCGTCCGGTCAGCCCGCGTTGTGCCCAGTGAAGGGGTACAACGGCTCTATTTTGTGGGAATTTCTATTTAAGCCCCATGGCCGGTTCAAGCTCACACTTTTGGTCATTTTTTATTGACATAGCAACCTTGTGAGCTTAGCCAAAGCCCTCCCACTCATCTCCATCATTGATCCATCATCATTGTGAGATTGGGAGAGAATCCAAGTGCATTGCTTGAGTGATTGCATTTAGAGGCACTTGGTATTCGTGTCGCGCTGCGGATTTCGCTTGTTTTTCTTGGTGGTTGCCACCACCTAGACGGTTGGAGCAGCGGTGGAGGATTGGCACGAGTTGGTGATTGTTCGTGGCCATCTCCGGTGATTGTGAGGGGAGTTCTACCTTTTCCGGCGGAGTGCCGAAAGGTAACTCTAATATATTGCTCGTGTCATTGAGTTACCTCACTTGTGGGTAGGTTCTTGCAGTGTCCAATCGTGTGGACGAGGTTTGTGAAACACCTCTTAGCCGCCGAACCACCAAGTGTTGGTCGACACAACGGGACTAGCGTGTTGGCAAGCACGTGAATCTCGGAAGAAAAATCGATTGTCTCTTGTCATTTGTATTCTCCCGGTGATTGGTTATATCTTCATCTTGTGATTGGTTCACTCTCTGACGTGGCGGTATAATCGTATCACTTACTCATTTACATTTCCGCAAACTAGATATAGCAAGCTCTTTAGTGTAGTTAGAATTGAGAGCTTGCCTTGTGCTTTAATTTTATCTGGTGGAGCTCTTTAGTGTAGCATTTGTGAGAGCTCTTAGTGAGTAGTGATCAAGTAGATTGTGTGCCCATTAATCATTGCTACTAGAATTGTTGAATAGGTGGCTTGCAATCCTTGTAGAGCTAGAGTAAGTTTGCATTACGCTATTTGTCATACTAATCAAATTGCTCTAGTTGATTTGTAGATTTTTAAATAGGCTATTCACCCCCCTCTAGCCATATTAGGATCTTTCAGCTGGCGAGGCCGATGGCCAGCGAAGGAACCCCACGGCTGCGGAGCTGTGGAGCGCGGTCACGGTAGAGCACGATTGTGCGGCGCTGCAGTGGAGAGCCTTCTAGAAAATGGAGCAACATGATAAGGTTAGAGACGAGTGGACAAGGGAATACGCCAGTTCGGCTGTTGGGCTGGTGCCGCGTCGCGTGAACGCAACGTCCGGATGATGGGGTGTCCTCACCAGAGCATTACTGTTTAAGGAGCCATGTGTAAAGTTAAAGATAAAATGATACTAACAGAACTGGGGAAATACAGAAGACAAAAAAGCGCTGACAGTTATAATGTCCTGTGTTCATACGTGCCTCCATCTATTAGGTCCCAAATGAGTCCTTCCTAATTAATACTTGAAAACAGCAAGTTCAAAAAAATTGCAATTTAGCGAGAGCGTAGATTCGGGGGAAAACATGGTCATAATATTTATTTTTTTTAGTATTTTTTTACGTGTTATCTTTTTGTTTGAAAAATTATGTCTTTTTAATTTTGTCCTGAACAAAGTTCTCTTAATTTTGATATAGTTTATGAAAGGTTTGAAAATTTATGTCTTTTTAATTTTGTCCTAATCAAAGTTCTCTAAATTTTGATATAGTTTATGAAATATACATCGACTCATGCAATGTCATATTATTTTTTATTAAATTCGTCATTCGGTATCTCTTAATTAATAGTGTATTTATTTGGCATTATAGATGTTAATATATTTTTCTTTAAGCTCAATGAAGAATATAAGTTTGGTTTAAATTCAAAAGACCTAAATTTATAGTGTATGTTGTAATTTTTTTTTCTTGTGGTGGAACCTACCCACCTGTGTTCAAGTCTCTAACCTGACACAGGTGGTCGTATTTTACTGGATTTATTCCAGAATTTTAACGGCGTTGTTCTTTCAGTGGTAGGTGATGTACCCGTCAACAGCGAGAGGCATGTGGTGACTTTATCAATCTCGAGATTTGCCAGTAACTCAGGGTGCTCATAGGGATAGGGTATGCGTGCATGCGTTCATAGGATTATTAGTGTGCGCTCGTGTACGTGGGTCTCGCAAAAAAATCAACGCCAGTTTTAGATCATTTTTAGAAAAAAAATAATCAAATGTGTAAATGATTATTCTGGATCAAACATGCAACAGAATACATGGGTTGAGCGGCCCAACTGCCCGGCCCATAATGCTCCACTCGAAGACTAGGGTTTACCACCTCACAAGTACCCCGCCGCTGCGAGATATATAAGCCGAGCCCTAACCCCCGCCCCCGCTTCTCTTCCACCTCCGCCTCCACTCCCTGCCGCCGCCGCCGCCGCCGCCAGCCGATCCAATGGCGCCGTCGTCTAAGCTGTCGCAGGGCATCAAGAAGGCCTCGCGGTCCCACGCGTACCACCGCCGCGGTCTGTGGGCGATCAAGGCTAAGCACGGCGGCGCCTTCCCCAAGGCAGAGAAGCCCGCCGCGGTCGCCGAACCCAAGTTTTACCCCGCCGATGACGTGAAGCCGCGCAAGCCCAGCACCCGCAAGCCGAAGCCCACCAAGCTTAGGTTCCTGCATGGATTGCATCATTTCTTCAGTACGATCTGTTTGCCGTGGGCTGCGAGTCCTGACGGTTTCTGATGCGCGCAGGTCGTCAATCACTCCAGGCACCGTGCTGATTCTGCTCGCCGGGAGGTTCATGGGGAAGAGAGTTGTTTTCCTCAAGCAGCTCAAATCTGGCCTGCTCCTTGTTACTGGTGAGCCTACGTTAGTCTGACACCGTTTAATTTGAAAATCTGTGGTAAATTGCTGGTTGGAGTGTTACAAATGCATTGTTTGTTTTGAATAGCTACATTAGCTGTTTCCTGTCGACGTCTCCTTGCCTTTATTCTGTAGTGGAACGTTGTAGATTGAACATTAGACAGTATAGTCGTCTTGGAGTTGAAATGCTGATGTTGAATATTGTTGTGAAATTTGCTGACTGCTGTGGAAATCTGTTTATGCTATCTGTTTGTGTATTTGATGATTACCTGCTTGTATTCCTTGTTGCAAATTGTTGGTCTGGTCATATTTCAGTTTCTTGCTTATATTCGTATGGGTGTGAAATTGGGAGCAATTGCAGTGATATTGATTTATGGACGTTTTATTTGGGAATGGAAGTCTCAATTGAGTGTATAGCAAATTCATTGCATTATTACATTAATCAGAAATGGTTGAATGGCTATAGAATTTGATCTCAAATTCTGTAAAACTCCTATCACATGACCCTTTTAGTTTTTAGTGGGAATAGGTTGGGATAAATTTGTACTGAACTTTTCTATTATTACTCATATTGATCTTTTCCAGCATTATCTTATAGAATGGGTGAAATATCCATTGTCCCAACATACAATTGAAAATCCCGAATGGATTATCATGGTGCGCTGAGTGTTTTGATCATATATCAGCACATGGTTACTTACTCTGAGTAATATAACACTGTTTCAGACCTTGTTAGATTACATTTTTACACTTGTTACAATGTCATTGTGTGGATTTGTGGCAACACCAATTTGACAGATGAGTACTACTACAAGTTGTTAAAAAGTTTGTTTCTATTTTGTAAGATTAGGAGCTTTGTTAATCCTCGTGCATGTTTTACAGCTCTTTTAGATGTACATGTATTTAGCAGCTGCTCTATTAATTGTATATGCTGGAGTAGGTTAAGTATATGCATGTTTTTTTCTGGCATTCTGTTACTAGGTACTAAGGTATCATAAAATCTGTGCAGGCTATGAACTCCTATTAGTTTTTTAAGTCTGCTAAGCTATTTCATACTCTGGACTGTATGTTGCATGTTCTTATTATATTGTGTTGTATATGTGTCATGCATTAACCAGTATTTATCTCTTTCAGGGCCTTTCAAGATCAATGGAGTCCCAATCCGCCGTGTGAATCAGACCTACGTCATTGCAACCTCCACGAAGGTTGATATCTCTGGTGTTAACGTAGAGAAGTTCGATGACAAGTACTTTGCAAGGGAGAAGAAGAACAAGGCAACCAAGACTGAGGGTGAACTTTTTGAGACAGAGAAAGAGGTGTGTGTCTATACATAATTTGGACCTTGTTTCTTTAGTAACCTGGCATTTCTTTACTTAGAAGGGTCCTACCTGTGTCTTTCAGGCAACCAAGGACCTGCCGCAGTTCAAGAAGGATGACCAGAAGGCGGTGGACGCTGAGCTGATCAAAGCTATTGAGGCTGTGCCGGATCTGAAAACCTACCTCGGTGCGCGGTTCTCTCTCAGGGACGGCGACAAGCCCCATGAGATGGTTTTCTAGATTAGTCGGTGCTAGGTGTGAAGCTTAATAGTCAGTTTGCCTGAGGGCGCTATTGAATTTTGTATCTGATTGGTGAACCTTTGGTTTCCATTTGAATCACTGCCAAATCTTTAATGAAGTCATACATTTTGCTGGTAAATTTAGCGATGTTTTACACAATATACTACTATATATGTAAGCTACTTGCAACGAAGTTCTGCCCTGCCATCTGTGGGCCGTAGCCTTGGTTTAGCCTTGCATCTGCTGGAGGCTGGACTATGATCCGTGTTGTCTCCATTTCGTGTTAACTTTGTCGGTTAATTTCTACTATGTTTGCATTCGCTTCATGCTGCCCAAGATGATCTTTGTGTACATACTACATAGAACCGTGATTGCATTCTTAAAAGGTACATAGAATCGTGATTGTATTCTCGGTTTGAGTTATGGAATGGTTGGTTTGCTGAAATGAGCTGGTTAGTTGAGGATAGCTCAAATTTCGGTCATATTCCATTTTTTTAGTAGGGTGATGCACGGATTTGTTAAGATGTGGACAATATGTAGAAAGCAATTGGGTTTATGATGTTCGGAACCTGCGACGGAAAATTCCAGTACTAGTTCAACACCAATACACACGCTAAGTGGCAATGAACTGCAGGCTACAGCATAGTGTCAGCCCGTGACGGCAGCCTCTTGAAAAAGTTGCTGGCAGCCGACGGCATCCGGCCCCGGAACCTCGGGTGGCGGAGCACGTACAGGCCGAAGACGAGCGACACGACCCGGATCGGTGTGACGTAGAGCACGGCGGCGGCGACGAGGCAGAACGCCGTGAACAGTGCCGTGGCCCGCGGGTCCCTCCACGCGATCAGGGACCGGATCCGCTCCCCCTGCGTCGCCACGTCTCCGACCACCGTCTGGATCCGCCCGGCCACGCTCCGCAGCCGGTCGTAGCGCAGCCGCACCACGGCGTTGGGCCTCGACGTCGGGAACGTGTCCAGCTCCTCGTCGAGGTCGTCGGGGTGGGTCGCCTCGGCGCACGAGAGCTTCGCATCCATGTGCGGCGGCTGGCGGCGGTAGTTCCAGAGGCCAGCCGTAGACATGTACAGGAACGTGGTCGGCAGGATGAGCTCCGGGAAGCACATGAGGGTGACGAAGAGCACGTGCACGAGGACCGTCGTCGCCGGGTTCTTCCAGCGGCAAACGTCGGCGAGCCACCGCGCGGTGCTGGCCGCGCCTGAGAGGAGCGCCGTGACGCGGAAGAAGTTGGCCTTGCTCCGCCGGATGCTCCAGACGTGCGAGTCCGCGTCGAGCATGTACTCCACGACCTCACGGCGCAGCAGCGGCTCGGCCCGGCTCAGCCTCGCCGCCACGATGCTCATTGCCTGCCGCCGCAGGCTGTCAAGCTGCACGACGGTGAGCGGCTGGATGTAGTGCACCTTGGGGAGGAGGGGCTGGCCGTAGAGGCGCACCACGCTGCCGAGGGAGAGGCAGGTGAGGCGCACGGCCAGGCAGAGCTCGCCGTTCTTGCGCTGGCCGGACGGGTGCAGCACGACGAGCGGGTGCGCGCTAGTGCGCGCCTTGTCCATCTCGAGCGTTCGAGAGGCGGATCCTGACCTTGCCGATCCTCTGGTCCCTGATGACGGCGGCGTTGCCGAGGTGGCAGTTGTCGAACACGGCGAGCGTGAGCACCGTGCACCGGTCGTACACCTCCCACGTGTACTGCTCGTTCCACCGGGGGCTGCAAGAGTCCACCACGGTCCGCGTGCGCACCCACTTCTGCCCATACTTGGCGACGCAGTACGCGTCGGTCATGCCCCGGCCGTCGACGGTCTTCATCGGCGTGAGCCCCTGCTCGCCGAGGACGTCGACTTCCAGCACGCCGATCGGCGGGCGCCACAGCTGCCGCGCGGTGGGGCGCGTGTCGCTGGCGTACATGGTCGGCTCCTCCATGACGAGGTGCACGCGGCCGGCGAAGACGGCCTCCGGCGGGCGCGCCGGACGCCCGAAGGGCTCCAGGCTGAACCACTGCGACTGGACCGGGCGGCGGTCTAGCCGCTTCTCGAAGAGCGTGAGCGGCAGCAAGGCGCGCCCGACGATCTCGTCCTTACCGGGGTGAACGCGGGCCTCGATGATAAGAACCGCCGGGTCGTCGAACGGCTCAGCCACGGCGAACACCAGCTCCTCGTTCCACGCAAGGTTCGTCGGACCCCTGGTGGTGCAGGGCCGAGTCCTGAGGACCATGCCGCCGACTTGCACCTTGGCGAAGACCTCGGCGTGCCGGCCTTTGTCCGCAGTGGCACCGGCACCCGGCGCGGGCGGCATGACGTCCTGAGCCTCGAGCACGCTTACCCGGAGGTACCACAGCTTGGGCGTAACGTACACCTTGGACCGCGTGTTGTGCACGGCCGCCGCGCCGTCACCACCAAGGACCGAGGCGGCGTCGGCGTGCCAGGCGTCCGAGAACACCTCGTCTGCCTGCGTGCCGACCCAGACGGCGAGCATGACCTCGCCGTTCGCCGCCATCTTCCCACCATTAGTACCGTCGAGGCGGTACCACTGCGGCGCGAGCGGGCTGTCCGGCGGCACGCGCACGGGCGCCTCGGCGATGTCGAACGCGACTCTGCCGACGCAGTCGTCGCGCCCCAGGGCGTCCCTGTCCCTGACGAACACCTCGAGCACCGTGGCCTGCACACGGTCCCTGGAGAAGGCGAACACCAGGTTCCACTCGGGGCTGGCCTTCCCCACGCAATGCCGCGTGGCGGCGCGGTAGTTGCCGACGCGGACCTCGACGTAGGGGCTGCACCCGCCGGTGACGGCGCTCGCTGGGAGCCCGCGCGCCTTGACGACGCGCACGTACAGGTAATGCATCGTCTCCACCAGGTCGTAGGTGCTCGCCAGCCTCTGGCTCTCCCCTGAGCCAAGGCCGTCCAGCCACCCGGCTCCTGCGCTTCTGCTGCCACCGCCTGCGGGCCAATGCTCCTTGACCTGCGGAACAGGCGCGGCGTCCTTGGCCTTGTGATCCTCCACTCTCACTGGTGGCGCCTGGGCACGGAAGACGTACGGGTATGCGTACGCCATGACCGGCGGGGCTGGCAAGATGGTGGCGCCGGTCGCCGATGAACGTGTCCGCCTGTTGGTTAAGCGGTCGGCTTCCCGTCGCCGGCAAGGGAAGGCATGCAAGGTGGCACGAAGGAATACAGGCACTTCGTTGCAGAAGCTTGAAGCGAATGTGGGTACGGGCTGTGATGGAAAAGGTTTGCGAGATATGGAGAGAGTAAAGATGAGGTCATGTGATGTGATGCAGAGTCAAGGTGCATCTGCCTGGATTTGAGTAGGACCTAGGAAGACTGGAAGAGGAGTGTTGGTGAAGTTGCCTGCATGAAAGACCCATGTTATTCTTAATGAAGTTGACATAATCACTTGCTATGACAGTCAGGCTCTTTTCTTGGTACTCAGTTCTAAATTATAAGTCATTCATATCTAGGCGTATAACAAAAGCTATGTATCTAGAAAAGTCAAAATAACTGACAATTTAGAACGGAGGAAATACTTACTTATTTGTGAAAACTATGAAATGAAACATTGTCGGGTTTGTGAAGTAAAGTGTTTAGTTGCCTCGCCTATAACATGGAAAGTTGTGCTCTGAACTATGCTATGTACACATAAAACAATAGGTCTCATAAATTTTGAAGTTGGTCTTCAATATAGCAGGGAAGAAAACGAAATCAGATCACATTTGCATCTAATCCAGAAAATAAAAAGTTCTCAGCTGGGTTACATACTCAATTACGTGATGGAGCCAAGAGGGAAAAAGAGCAAAGTGCGTATTCATTCATCTACAAAGCAAAAGCAATTCAGAGGCTTTTGTGGCCTGGTTTGCTTTAACCAAAGAAATCCCTTTATCTTATTTTATTTTTCACACTGGAGCTTTATTCTCCTCGTTGCAATTGAAGTATATTGACCAGTGGCAATGGAGCAGTGCTGTGGGCTGTAGCCTTACAGCATTTACGTTTTGTTCACTCACGTTTGGCAAATCCCAGCTCAGTGTAGGGTATACTGCTCCCTTTACAGCTGTCCCCCCCCCCCAAAAAAAAAAACTGTGATCTTCATTCAGGCCTTTGGAACCTTGCTGGTCCCTTGGTTTCTTGATTCTTTCTCGATGTTTCAGCAAGGCAAGGCGTTTCTTTTGCTCTCGTTTTGCTCTCTGAGTGTAGTTTATGCTTGCTTTACAAAGGCTACATGTTCCCACTTGTTCGAAAATATGCAATTGTATTTCTTTACTTTGAGGGAAAATCATGAGGCCTGGACACTATTATCACTGTAGGGCTGAAAGATGACCAGCTAGGGTCTACCATGCGAATCAGAACACTCCAACCTCAGAGTTTACTAGTTTAGTGATAGACCATATGAACAGTATTTTGACATTTTTCCTCTGTAATTTAAATGGGTTTTTTTTGTGGCGAGTACATGAGAAAATAACCGGGCTGTGTTTCAAATTGCAAAATTGAATATTGATTCTGCAAGCGATCGCTTGCTCTGATGCCTGATGGTGTCCTGGAAGATGCAGGCAGGCAGGAACGCCGCCACGTTTTCCTCATAAGCAACTGCTATGAGCACAGCAGCTGCCCTGTTTTACTCGTAAGTCATAACAGCTCGTACGCCCATCTTTAAAAAAAAACTTAGCAGGAGCTGTGCCTCTTAATTAAGGAAAGATAGAGATTTATGTATAGAAAGTCCAAAGGCCTAAAACACCCTAAAGGCCACAGCCCAGGTACAGAAGAAGAACGATCTCTTCTCCCCTTAGGGGAAAAACATAGAGAGGCTAAGTAATGCTGCTAAAGACCCACGATCGAAGGTCAATGTCTTATTTGGTTTTGGAGGCCACTTGTCTTGCGTCCATGGCAGTGTTTTGAAAAATCCTTCTGTTTGTTTCTTTCTAAATGTTTCACATTGTGTAAATCACTACTCCGTTGAAGTGTCATCGTCGCTGCCTTGGGATTGTGGCAGCCGCTTCCTCCCACCAAGCACAAATTTCTGTTGGCTAGACCTGTGGCTGGATTAGTTGCACATCAAAATGTTCCTAGGTCAGCACAAGGTTCCAAATCTCTTTGGCTAGAGGGCACAACAAGCATAGGTGAAGGCCCGATTCCAGTGGTCCATTGCACATGACGCAGTGGTCTTGGTGCGGCCAGTTCTTAACTGCAAGTTGTTAGCCGTGAGGATTTTGTTTTGCACAAGGATCCAGACCAAGAATTTACATTTATTCTCATTATGTGCTTTCCATATAAGGTCTGGCCGGAATCTCCCGTAGCATCCTTGGAATTGTATGCGGTATGCCGAGCGGGTGGAGTATATGCCATTAGGCGTCCACTTCCAAGTAATGGAGTCTTGTACTCCCGGCTGCAGCTGGATGTTTTGTATTCTGATCCACAAGGATATTAATTCCTCTAGGTGTGTGGCCGTTGTGATCTTGCCCGTGAGAGATCGAATCCAGCCGTCGTTTAGGAGTTCCTGCTGGACCGATCTATTCTTTCTTCTCACAAGCTCAAAGAGTTGCGGCACAAGGTTCCTGGGAGCCTCTCCCTCTAGCCAGCTTTGGTGCCAAAATTGCGCTTTCATGCCGTTTTCGACTGTGACAATGGTTGATGCATTGAACAACAATCTGTCGGTTGTTTTGCAAGGCAACTCGGAGCTGGCCCATGGCTTGGAGGGATCCACCCAGTCCTGCCACAGCCAACGTAATCGAAGTGCTATACCAAACTTGTCCAGGTCAGGCACCCCGAGACCACCAAGCTCCTTAGGTTTGGACACACTTGGCCAATTGACGAGCCAATGTCCCCCGTTCGCGTTTTCTTCCCCCTTCCATAGAAAAGACCTACTGAAAGGATCAAGATGCCCAAGAAGGGGTGAATTGGGCTAATTCTAAATTTCTTTCAATAATTAAGCCCTACACTTAACCCATTTCACCCCCTTTGTGCCTAGAGGTGTTTCTATTGTTCTACCACACAAAAGTTTTGCACCATAGGTTCCAATTCTACTCTAGCATGGCAATTCTAAGAATGTAAATACATGAATTGAATTGCTCAAAAATAAATGCTCAAAGTAAAGAGGAGAGGAACGCGGCAATGTTTTTCCGAAGTATCAGAGAGTCACCACTCTCCACTAGTCCTCGTTGGAGCACCCGCGCAAGGGTGTAGCTCCCCCTTGATCTGCGTAAGGATCAAGTGCTCTCCACGGGCTGATGCTTTAACACTCCGTCGTGGTGAATCGCCCACAACCGCTCACACCATGACTTGGTCATCCACAAGCTCCACCAGATGATCACCAAGTTTTCAATCACCACCAAGCCGTCTAGGTGATGGCTATCACCAAGAGTAACAAGCACAAACTCTCACTTGATCAATACAAGCCTAATGAGAAAGGTGGATGCACACTTGCTACTCCCTATGCACTAATGAGGTCCTTAATCTTGGATTATCAAATCTCAATCATCCCACTAGGCTCTTGCTCTCCCTTGCACTCCAAAAGTGTTTTTCAGCTGAACAAATGGGTAAAAGAGCTAAGTTGGACGAGTAGTGTGGCAGAACCGCCCACAATAACACGCTTACGGAGGTGCTCGTCTTCCACCAGACTCTAAGCACCCTGAAAGCAAGCTACAATGGGCGGTATCCGTCGGGCACACCCCAAGGGAGAACCCGAAAGATCCATATTTTCCCCAAGGATCTAATAATGAGAACGAGTTACAATACTTGTCCATTTCATACATCAGAAGTTCTTAGAAATTACATTATTACATTACCAAATGTCAGAGTGCGGAATGATAAACAACAAAATTTAAAAATAAACATCTAGCGATAAGGGACGAGGATCCGTCTGAGCCCACCAGAAGAATCCTCCACACAAAGGTACTTCTCATGCATTACCTGTAACAGGGGTAAATAAACCCTGAGTACACAATGTACTCGCAAGACTTATCCGACTAGTGGGAATAATGTCCCGACTCCAAGGAATATGATAAGCTTTATGGTTTGCTGGTTTTCTTTTGGCAGAAACCAATACTATTAGTGAGTCCTTACTTATGATGTTATTAATAGCCGTATTAATTTATTATCTATCCATTCTATGTAAGCACCTGTTCTACTTTCAAGCAAGAGTTGAGCAATCAGTTCCATTTCATTATCTTCCATCCTTCAGTTCTTACTACGGTGCTAGACACGAAACAAGCCATACCGGATTGCCCGGCGATTCACGAATCAATGCCCCCAGCTGGGTACCCCGAAAACACACGCCCCGCTTGTACCCCAGGCACAAGCAGGACCAACCCACTACCCTCCTGTCACGGGGTCCAGGTCCCCGTCCAAACCGGGTCTCCAAGCCCCCGACCTGAGTCCCGGACTCAGTGCGGTGCAAGGACCTCCTAACCCAAAAACCACCCTGACAGTTGGTCCAGAAAAAGCCGGAACCCATGACAAGAGAGTAACAAGTCTTTCAAGCGCCCATACCTAAGTATGTGCTCGGGATAATAAGTCTATGACTTGCCCACGATGCCTTATGCAACGACCGGTCCTTAATCGACACAGACAGGGAAAAAGTGTAATCGAGCTATGCCCTGTTGGCCGCAGGACACAACCCCTTACACCCACCAATACCCAAACCACATCCCTGCCCGGTCACCATTTACCTTCACAACATTTTATCATGAGTGATCATATTTATCACCTATTTGTGTGTAACGGCAGGTTACTCACGCTACCGACATCCTGATCATAGCAGCTACTCGACCTATACTAGTAGGACTCATAGGTAGATATATTTATGCATGTAGTTTTCATAAAATACCTGTAACGTAAATGCACATCATATATATATTCAGTGATCATTAAAAATAGGGGTTATGCACCGGGGCTTGCCTTGGGCAGGCGACGGGTCAACAAAGTCAGCATCAAAAGGCTCCGGGGCTCCCTCCTGCACGAGGATCTCCTCCTCGTACTCCTCAATGACTTCCTCATACTCCTATTTGTCCACGGGCACGAACTCTACCAACTCGTGATCTACATGCATTAAATGATGATGCAATA